TCTGCAAAGAAAGCCAAGTCTTCTCCAGGAAAGTGTGTGTCACAAAATAGAACAGATTCTGTGTGATGGAAGTTATGTCCAGGAAAAATCAGGGTGGATTAACAGTAGAGTCATGAAGGGAAGAACAGAAGAATAAAACAAAACAGCAACCCCTCCTCAAAGCCAGAATAAAGAGCATAGCCATCAAGAACTTAGACCAAATGTCATTTGAAATTAATTGCTATAATAAGGACAGCTGCCTACCTAATTGATTTCAGCTTCTCACTAAGAGATCAGTGCTACTAATTAGTTTGCATGTAAACTTCAGAGGATGTGAATAATCAGAGTTTAGCAAGCCACGCCAACCATAACTAATCCTTCTAGCTCTTCCACAAAGAATACACAGTAAGCAAATGTTGTCCCCTGCCCAGCATCACAGATGGAGCCAGGCCTTGTTGATTCAACTACTTGTTTTCCACTAAGATGCTACAGAGCACTCAGAAGCTTGCAGAACTGGCAACCTTGAAGTAATTTTGGAAGGGAGTTTCCTAGGTAGAATAGGAGCAGTGTGATAACTTCTGTAAAGAAGAGGATATTTAGCTGGAGCTCCCTGCTGGCTAAGCAGCTGTTTCAGGATCCATGAGTAGCCAAGTATAATTTACAAAACCCCAAGGCTATTCTAAATTGCCATCAGAGTCATAACATACCTTGATCAATTTATAGACCACAGAGTTGCAGGAGTAGTTTTAAAACTGCCATTACTCCATCATTCTGGTTTTATGCTAACCAAAAGTCAACCAGAGTAAAAGACAGGGCCTAGAACTTGTATCAGAATATGAAGTGGAAATAGCCTTTCCTTTTTCTTTTACCTTCTGTTTTTTCTGTTCCTTTGTATTAACATAGCTTTGATTTTCCTGGAAGTGGAAAAATATGGCATTAATAGTTTTAATTTGTAATTAATAAGGAACATTATTTCAGATTAGTGTTGTCCAGATCCCTGCTTTTTTAAAGTTCAAAGCAAGTTCTCGAACTGCTATATAAACACATTGAAAATGTAAGTTAGGATTCAAAAGCTGTAATCTGAAATTTATATATGACTGAATTGGAGCCTACTTCCATCCTTATTCATCAGGAAGTTACTGGGAGTAGAGTCCATCCCTTAGATCCGGTGGTATGGTTTGATCTGAAAGATAAAATCAATATTAGAAGAATTTTAGAAGAATTATATTAACTAAAAGAATGTATATGCATGCCTGTGGTGTATTGGCTATATATGCATCATTTCAACCCCTCAGCAATAGCAGACAGAATTTCTTGTGGCTTTTTGACAAGAAGGGATTGTGGTGGTTCCATCACCATCCAATGTATGGTAGTGATATTGCTCTGCATGTCACACTTAAGAGACACTCAAAATGTTGTGTGGTATTTCAGAGAGAAAGAGAAACAATCTCTGTAGGGAGAGTATCAAAGTCTTGCTAGTTCTGTAGCCTGTGGTGACTGGGCAGAAGTCGTTGACCTTATAGTTGTACTGGTTGGTGGTATCAGGCAAAGCATGCATTTGAGCTCACAGAGCCATGATGTTTAATCTCATTGTCAGATGGTGCAGGCAGCCTGGCACTGGGTCTCCTTTCACAATGGGCACTTTTGTTGTTAGATTAATAAACCCATGTCCTTTTGTTTTGACAAGGGATCTAACAAACAGTTTATATCTTCAGAAGTGGAGCAACATCTCACTGAAGCTTTTGCTTCTGCATTCTATAAGGAATCTGTCTTTGAGCAGCAAACAATCTATCTAGTTTAGTATGTCCCTTTCCCCTTTTCACTCATGACTATTAAGGGTCCTTATGCATAGATAATACTACAGCTTTTCAGTTTTGACCTTGGTCATCAGAGCCTAAAAAAGCTTATAGAAATGGTCTTACTTCTAAATTCAGAAAGAGCTGCCTTTTAAAGTATGTTTGTGTTGTCTTGGGATGTAGAACTTATGTTCTCAGAAAGAGAAACATACCTTTTTTTCTTTCTTGGTAACTTTGGAATGAATTCTGGTTTTGCTGTTCCCTATAAGGTACGACACCAAAATCGCTCCTATTAAATGTTACCTCTTGTGCAAGGGGTTTACTCTGCAGAATCAAACATTTTTCACAAGCTGCAACACTTTTCAGTTTTTACTGAGATATCTGCGGTTCAGTATTTAATAATAAAAAGCTGGCTTCTCTGGCATCTTTCATCTCCGGCTTTACTAATATGAGTATTGAATTATATAACACCAGAGTTTAATGTACTTTTCTGTTACTGGGGAACAGAGTCACAGAATGAATCAGTAAGTTATCTAGTTTCATTTACTGCTGACTAAATATTGAAGCATGCAGCAGAATTTGAATTCTGTGTCCTTTATTTTATTTAATATATCACACATTTCTCCTATAGCCAGTAATAGAAAACAGGAGTTTTGCTGTAACCATTAGACAATGCTCTGTCAATGGAACATCCATATGCTGTGGTGAGAGGGGATGCAGCTTTCACATGGGATTATGAGGAGTGTAAGGAGCAACACATGTAAGGAACAGCAGATATTATTTTCTTATTTTAACATTTATGGTGGTTTAGATCATACTGGTCCAGTGGCACAAACCTGTTTCCACTTTCTGTTCTGCATGTTCTAGTTTTGAGTGTGCAGAACAACGGAGCATTGCTATAGCTCCCCCAAGCACTAGGTTCTCTCTGTCGTTGGTGTCTTCACCATTCAAATCCCCATCCACTGCAGCATTTTACCCTATTATCTTGTAGAAAGACTCTGCCTGCTTTGAACATAGCTGAGGCATTGAGTGGACAACCAGATTTGTCTTAAAGACAAATTTTTTGTTAACTTTTAACTAATGAACAAAACAGGGGTCATTTATCTTGGTTATACTGTACCATAATAAATGGTACTGTGTGTTAAGGTGAGAAGGGAGGTAGCGTTGGTAATGCAAGCCTACCTAACCCTTGTCCCTTGGCCTGCTGCTGCAGATGAGGATCTAGGGCTGCATACAGGTCTCTGGCTTCAGAACCTTGGCTGGAGGAAGGACAGGGAAGCACGAGAAAGTATCAGTTAATCATTCCCACCTCTCCTTTCTGCTCTTCTTTCCTCTTCCAATGAGAAACTAAGAGGGTAGAGAAAGGGGGACCAAGACAGCTAGGTGGAGTTCAAAAGGTAGAGAACAGCTGCAGAAGCACCTGGCATACAGAAGGGAGAAACAAGGAGTAAAGGGGAAGAAGACTTGGCAGATGCGGTGAAAAAAATTGTAGGCAGAGATGTGAGTGGTAAATGAGGATTAATAGACTAATGGAAACATGTGAACTGAGGAGAGGACTGATGGAATTATAAGGTCTCTTCTACTGTGCATCACACATAGTTTGCATGTGTAATTCATATAAAACTTCCCAAGCTTTATGCTGAGAAAGGTAGGAGCATTGTACAGCTCATGCTAGAGGAATGCCAATGGGTCACAGTGGTTTAATACAAGGATAATGATACTGAAGATTATAATTTAGTAATGTGGCTGAGTGGCTACTTTGCTTACAGAGTAGAAGGTATACATGCCAGTAGTTAGCGGATACCTACTGAGCCTGTTTGTGAAGGACCATTAACATTAAAAGGGCTGGAATCACCTTTAGGTTTGTACCCCTGTCCTTTTACCACAGGACCAAAGAAGCAGAAATTTGACTTGCTAGTGATTTGTATCTATTCTGTGCTTACTGTGCATTGGTGTATGTGAAGGGAGAGGAGAAAGGACAGTGTGACTTGATCTCATCTTGTTTGGTTTGGCCTGGCAGTTTAAAGATGATATCTTTCCCCTGTAACTTGCTTTCGATGGTTGTGCCATTAAATATAAATATTTGTATATATATGACTTTGCTTTGTGATATGTGTTGATGGGTGTTGTCATCATGAGAGTTCAGTTATTGTAATGAAAACAAATGGCTTTCATGTACAGAGAGCAAACCATCTATTTCGACGAGTCAAAAAAGAGAGAGAGAGATATTTTGCAGATGGTGTTACTACATCAGAATTCCAGTGTTACTGTTTAACAGAGAATGGGATTTCTTCAACGCACACAAGGCAAAAAACTCCCCCGTATTAATCTAGCTAGTAATATCAGATAGTGTTGAAAGTGAAGTCAGAAAACATGCTAGAAAACAGGGGGTTACATGGGATTAAAGCTATCGGGAGAAAGGCTGAGGAGGAAAAACTGGGAAATTAGGGCTTTTTATTTATTTAAGTCATATCCTCTCCATTACAGGGAATAAAATCTCATAAGGTAAATTGATCCGAGTTGCCAGGGGATAGCCCTAATCTTAATTCCACTGCAGAACGTGTGCTGCAGCGTGCAGGACAGAGCAGGGGCTGGAGCGCCGGGGCGCAGCACTGCACCCCTCTGGCTCCCTGCCGCAGGTGGGACCCTCCGGCCCCGGCCCGGGAAAGCGCGACCTCCGCCAATCCTGGCTTCCCCTTTGCCCAGGAATAATTCCCACCTACGCTGCAGAGGGTGCGATGGAAGCGAAAAAAACAAACCAAAGCAGAAACAGACAACAACCAACCAACCCCAAATCCACAACACCTGAAAGCCTGGAATGAAAAGCTGCGTCGAAGAGCTTTGCTCTTTTCCCCGATGCAAGCAGGAAACCGTCTCGTACTGCGATGGTTGTCGCCCGGGTGGGGGGGCGCTGAGCCCACCCCTCCCGCCTCTCTGGCTCCCGACC